ATTGTATTCGTTTCGTGAACGAATATAGTTGGCACAAGTTGTATTCGTTGCACGTTTGAATACAAGTGATAAAATTAGTAACAATTAAATAGTAGCTACGAATAATAATTAGACAAATTATAATTACTAAGCTCTAAATTATAGTGATTTATGAAAATTTCTGATGTTAATTTAGGTAGAACATTGTTTTGAATGTTAATGCTTTCTATACATTTCGATAATGAGAGAGGGGTAAGATATGGAAAATAAATCTTAAAGGTATTATTTAGATATGCTATCGATTAGAGAGACAAAGGTTACAACTGATCAAGTGTACTAAAATTCATTGACGAAAAAGAATAATCCAAAAAAGATAGTATAATTATTTGCTAAAATTTATAACAACCGACGAACAAGCATTGAAGGAATTTTGTTAGAAGGAGAAGAGAAAGAGATAATATTAGAGATGGGGGACTACAACCCAACAGCCATGCCAAACAGCTGGGCATTAGGTAGTAGGTACGACGTACGAGTAACAGAAACGGATACGCATATCTCCTCTCTCCTATCTTTCTCATTTATTTATTATTATCTCTGCCCTCTCCCCACTTTTTTTTTTTTTTTTTTTTTTTTTTTTTTTTTTTTAATTACTATATTCTCTTTTACTAAATATTTTAATCTAAATCCTTTACCCGTTTCAGTATTCACACTAAAATCTAGGGTCCGATAATAGAGATTACTCAAAGTTTCATTAAATAAAGAGAAAGTAGATGAGAAGGAAGGTCGTAGGAAAGTGACTAGTGTTTTTGGGAAGCGTGTATGAGAGCGTGGGTTACCTGATCCGTACATGTATACTTTATGCGGAAAGGACGGTTTCATGCACATCTTTATAGGAACAAAATTTTTCCTACCCAACATATGTGCTAATTTTTAGTTAAGTGATAAATTAATACTCTACAAAATTAACAAAATATATGCAAATTATCTAGAATTTAAATTTTATTCTATATTTATGTAGTGTTATAGTATCGATTTATCTGGCGCAATACTTTTGACATAGAGCATAATCTAATATAAAAATTTAGTAGAATTATTATACTTAATAGGTCTGAACTCATAATTTTAAAATTATAATAAGTTCAATATTAAAAACTTTAAAAAGGTTGAAAGGAGTGATTTGGTATGCAAGTGGGATAAAGTGGGAAATTAAATTTATGTTGTATTTAATTGAGGGAATAAATACATCGCAAGTAAATTTATACAATAAAACTGCAGATAGTATAAATTTAATACCAAAGTTAATCCTAAATATTCATCTTATTCCATCAAGTTTGAGATTATTTTATCAAATTTCAAAGTAAAATAAATTAATCAAGAAATTATAATTTTAGAATTATCATCCCAAAATAACACACAAATAAAATATACACCGAATTTATTATTATTATTGTTATTATTATTATTATTATCGCAAAATAATTTAGTTTACATATCAAACGATGATCCTAAATTCCTTCTGTTTATATTAAAAAAGAATATTAATGCGTTTATTGCTTGATAGATGAGTCAATTGAAATAAATATTTGCCTGTATTAAAAAGTGGCGGTGACCGATTGACGGGTAGCAGCAGGTTTTCATGGGGATAAGAGTTGGGACAAAGGCCGTTGGAGTTGCAATTAGAATTAGAATGAAAGGAGGGATATGTATATTCAAGGAAGTTGAAGGGGTTTAAGAATAAACAAAATAAGAAACAGGCTGGACTGACAGGATTGTAGTAATGATTCGCCTTCCGATTCGGCGACCAAAGTTGTCGTTTAGTGCCAGCTCAGCACGTCCGTGCGGCCGTTTCATTTTCAGGAGGGGTGTTGGGTTGAAATATAAAAAATAAAAAAATAAAAGGAGTGGGTAGATAAATATCCCATCCCCATAAAAAAAAAAAGAAAACGTTATATGCTCTCCAGGCTGTCAACTGCTTGCTTTCAGTCAAAGCTGATGGCCTCGCTCTCTTTCTATTTTTTCTTTGTCTTTTCATCAATCATCTCCTCAACCGTTACCCTAATCTTCTCTCTCTCTCTCTTCCACTCACACCCATACTTATTTTAATTAAAAAATAAATAAATGTATCATGATTTCAGTTACAAGTCACTTGCTTTATTTCTCTTTAATAAAGTCTTAAATCTACAGAGGATTTTCATCATTCTTTAACTGATTTACTGTAGCATGAATAATGAGTTGAGATTAACTCATTCTTTAACTGTGATACATTTACCAGCTCATTCAATGCAATAAACATTTAGGGTATTAGTAGGAAGTATGGTGGAATAATTAAAAAAAATTCTACGTACAAAAAGATAGAGAGAGTGTTACTAATTTAATCGACCTATTCAGTTCAAATTAATGGATCAATTCTAAATATATATCTATCTTAAGGGGAAAAATGAACATTTGAAGTTAAAATTTGTTTTCACTATTTTGCTTCTCCTACATAGTGGAACCCAAATTAACAACCTCTGACTCATTTCAACTTTTGTTTGTTTCCACTAGGATCAAACAAATCTCGTTGGGAAAAAAAAAAGAAGAGTAATGTAGACGCAGCTTATTTATTTATTTATATATTTATTTATAGAAAAAGAGCCCTAAAACTGAAACAGGAGCCATCTGTTATTGTGTAAATCAGTGTAATCTTTCTTTATGACGCGTGTCCCTGTTTACAGCTGTATTCCATCTCAACCGCTTTCCCTATCCCTCCTTTTTTTTAAAAATCAATCGGTGCCCATAACGCTTACAACTCTTCCCCACTTACCGGCTTTACCGGTCATCCCTTTTCCCTTTTATACCCTCTTCTCCCCATATATAAATCTCCGCTTCTTCACGTTTCCTCTTCCTAATCCTAAAACACAAACCACACACAAAAATGGCCAATGGCAGTAACTGTTCTAAGAAAGATATGGATCGGGTTAAAGGTCCATGGAGCCCCGAAGAAGACGAGCTTCTACAGCAGCTCGTTCATAAACATGGACCACGAAATTGGTCTCTTATTAGCAAATCCATACCTGGAAGATCCGGTAAATCTTGCCGGTTAAGGTGGTGCAATCAGTTATCTCCTCAAGTAGAGCATCGCGCTTTTACTCCCGAAGAAGATGAGACCATTATTCGGGCTCATGCCCGATTTGGGAATAAATGGGCCACTATAGCCCGACTTCTTAATGGACGGACCGATAACGCCATTAAGAACCACTGGAACTCTACCTTGAAGAGGAAGTCCTCCTCTCTTAGTGCTGATGAAGGTAACGAACTCGCCGATCAAATTTTTCAAAATGAACAGCCGCCGTTAAAGAGATCCGTTAGTGCCGGATCCGCTATGCCGGTGTCGGGTTTCCATTTCAGTCCCGGTAGCCCGTCGGGTTCGGACAGTGATTCGAGCCTTCATGTCACCTCATCGTCTCAATCTCACTTATTCAAGCCTGTCGCTAGAGCTGGCGGTGTGTTTCCGCCGCCGTCTATTGACACGTCATCTCCTTCCGATGATCCGCCGACTTCCCTCAGCCTTTCGCTTCCCGGAGTTGACTTGGCCGAGTTTTCTAATCGTTCGGCTGAGTCAACTCAGTCGAAGAATCCCTTCCAGATGCTTCCTGTTGCTATGCAGATTCCGCCACCTCAGGCGGCGGCGGTGCCATTTCAATGTGCTCCGTTAAACCAGGAAGCTGCAGGAGGAGAGCAAGATAAGGTGTTTGTGCCTTTTAGTCAGGAGTTGTTGGGAGTGATGCAGGAGATGATTAAAGCGGAGGTGAGGAACTATATGGTGGGAGTTGAACAGCAACAATTTCAGCAACAACAACAGCAGCAATGTTATCAACGACAACAGCAGTTTCAGCAACAAAATCATCAAATGCCAAGTGGAATAGGTCTAGGTTTGTGTATGCAACAAGCTACTGATGGATTCAGGAATACAGGTCCTAATCGCATGGGAGTAAGCAAAATCGATTAGAGAGAGGGAGGTGGGGAAAGAAACAGCCTTTGTTTCATTTCTCTCTATGTTTAGGGGGGCACATGTTGCCTTTGAGCTTCAACTGTGTGGGATCGTCAAAAAAAGGAAGTACTTTTTGGACTGTTTGTACAGAGAGTGGGAGGGAGAGTATAAAGCCAAGTTCCACTGCCAGAAATATGCTAAGGCTGGAACAAATAAGAAAAGAAAAGCCAAAAAGATTAAAAAAGACGTTTTGTTAATTTGTATTCAGGCAGATTTAGAAAACAAGAACAAAACTAGGTATTGAGAGACCCTACCGCCAAAGAAATGAAAAATGAAATCTGGTGGAAGGATTTGAATGAAGCAAAGTTCTTAACTAAGTTATTTATCTTTCCTTTTCAAATTTAAACGCTGATGACCAGATGAGTTTGAAAATCGCAGGGAACTGAAAGAAAGAATTGAATTGTGGACAATACAGTATGAGTAATTCCATAGTGAAGCTGAAAACATACAGCAGCAATTAGAAAGGTCACAAATTATAAGGATTGCATCAAGGTATTTGGGAACTTGTCGCCAATGTGGAGGTTGCAGTGTTTGAAAATGAACTAAACCTTAATTATTAGCCGAAAGTGATAAGCACAAGGAGAAGGTAGAAAACTAATTTAACCAAAAAAACCTTTTCGAATATGATTCAGATCAAAAATAATCTATAGCCATATTCCATTACTTTCTCCTCTTCATATGAAACTGGTTGCAAACAAACTTACAAAACGTAGAAGATTGGAGAGAGTTGCTGTTTTACCTTTTTCCTTTTTAAAGAAATCTAGTCGGCCTCTACCTTTCACATATGCCCTTATACTCAGAATAGATATGTATAAGCTGGTCGTAAAAGTGGTTTGTCAGTTTTGCATTCTCAAATTATACAGATTCCATCATTTTTGTGAGAGTTCAATTGATCTTTTTTCCATCTTTAGAGCCGCGTGTAAACACATGAAAAACTGTTCGAGCGCATCATCATAACTGAAATTGAACGTTTGCACGTTTGACCAAGCCATTAAGGTAAAGATAAGACCTCCTTTTTCCAATAGGAGACTTGTACAAATGTGGTACAAGACAACCAACTTTATGATTAATGGTTCCCTAACGTCCTGCATTAAAATTAGATGCTTTGCCGCTTACATCTTTACAGTAACATTTCAATACCGCCTAATATCATGCAAAGTACATAAACATGGAAAAGAATATACATAGGGCTGATTTAGCCTCACGTGTACACCTGACAATCTAGTTGGTGCGGCTCAACATGTACAGTGCAGTATTCTTCACTTTCTGACAACAAAGTTTTCGTCACTCCATCTCAATTGGCATGTGAACAGCTACAGTGCAGGAGGTCAATACTCACAAATGGGCTGCTTGAATGGTGCTAGGTAGGGTGCCATGCCTCAAGAACATAATTAGAGAATGCAATTTGTCAATCATTTGTGAAACATCCTCCCTCCATGACCATGTTGGAGGATTTAGAGCACGAACAGAATTGAGACAAACAAGAAGCGTGCCACCTTCATGCAAGAGGACCTGCATGTTGACATACCAGCTCAAATAAATTTACTAAGATAGCCACCAAGCTAGGGCAAAAATGCAGTTTCTCATTTTCCGTAGTTGCAAGTCCCCAACAGAATGTAAATCTATCTATCTTCCAAGAATAACAAGAATTGGACCACTTAGAAATAAGAAAATTTCACAAAGGTTAACTTGTGTTTCCTACTAGGTTATATTGTTGGACCTAATAGCTGCACAAAGACTAACAGCAGCAAGCTGGACAGATATACAGATTGATTGAAACAAGATGGATAAACTTAAGGTGAGAAATATCTGGAGTAGAGTTATACCGTCAACCACAGTGGGAGGACTCCCAATACTGATGTAAGAGAGGCCAAAAGAATGCTAGACAAAGCAAGTGCTACATTTTGCTTGATCTGCAAGTATTGGGGTGAGCATCAGCTGCATATAGAAAGACGAGTTGATTACAAAGGAAAAGGAAATACCAAGGATGTTGTTTGACGAGATTTCGCAACACAAAATGGGACACCGGAAATATTGTCTTGTAACAACAGTACATCGGCAACAGCTATGGCAGCCGCACTAGCTCGTTCAGCCAGCACAATACCAACAGTAGCTGCAGCAAGTGCTGGGGCATCATTGATGCCATCACCTACCATTATAAGGCCGCCTGCTCAGAAGTATAGTAATTGGTCAGGTAACAATTAGCACAATAAGGATACATGAATTATCGTGAAAAGTTATAGTTGATTAGCATCTACCCAAGTTTGCACCCCATACATACACATTCCTGGGGCCCTAAAGTGGAGAGAAATGAGAATCATGACTAAGGTTTACCCTTTTTCGACTTCTCCTTGTTACCATGAACAGCAAAATAACTTCGGGTGTATGCTTTATTCCATCCAGTTTCACCTATAAGGTCCTCTGTTCTAAGTGGGATCTCCAATTTATTTAACTTTTATAGTCTATAGACATGAGTGGGTCCCCACAGAAGCATATGTAAACTTGTTTATCTTGATGGTTTAAAGTTAAAACTTTAATGCTTTAGCATTGGTTAAATTAATTTGTTATTGACTATTTAGAAAACGTCAACATAAAGACGCTAAATAAATATCAAAATTCCGCCATTAGTTTGATAAGTTGAATCTTTTAGGTCGCAGTCCAATGATTTGTTGCATGAAGGTAGCTTCTTCTCCTCTTTCGTTTGTATGTCTTTTTTAACTTAATACTTTATATCATTTCTTATTTGTGCTAATTTCTGAGTTGACTGACTCAAAGGTCTAAAAACACAGTTCTCATCTCTAAACCAATATCCAAAGGAATTCTCAAGGAGTGAAACAAAACTTGAAGTTCCAGAAAGTACGGAACAAAAACCAAGGAGCAATTTACAAATCTGCTTTAGCTAGCTGAAGCTCAGGTGAGTAGCAGGACAAGACATGCAATATTCGGCTGTTTGCTGCTACTCATTTATGGATAAATTTACCCAGGAAACTTGTCCGGTTAAGTTTGGGGGAAGAAAGAGAGGACAAAAGAATGAAGAAACAGTTAAGAAGCGCTATTATTATGAACACACTACAGTGTCATTACATGACATGAGAGCCAAAAGAGGAGAGCAAACACACTGCATGAACATCAGGCCTAAATGGGTCGTGGAATACGTCTTAAAGCACAAAATCTGAAAATTGTTCTGAAGTTTGGTCTAGGAATACCGTGACGTGAATTGGTCCACATGGTGTAATAAACAATGTCCGAATCAGGGTAACACCTTTTTATTCTATAGTAGTTAATGTCAGATATATTGATAGGAAAGACAAACATTAAAAGCGGCCCATTTAGATTGTCAAATTAATTAAGGGTTAAGGAAATTTTTCACCCATGATGGTTGAGATGTTTATGGTAAGCTGTATGGCTTGGAAAGAAACAAATGATACCTCTTTCCATAGAACCACTAGTTACACATACTACCTGTTTCATAGAACATTTATTAAATCCTAAAGAAGCATTTAGCCACAGCTGCCCCAGCTATTTATTAATTTAATCTGGTGACTTAGCATGAGTAGTTTTCATTGTTTTTGATAAGTTGTCATTTGGCATGTGTATTAAGATGTGAGTTAAATACGAACATGAACTAGTTAAGTGAGAGCAAATGTGCAAAACCACAAATAATTTTTTTGTTTAGAATTCGGAAATCTAAAATGGGCCTGAAAACATGAAAGGAAACCTCTCATTGCCAGCTTTTGTGACTCACCTGTATCCCTTGAAATGCTTGTAACATGAAAAAGTTTATCCTCCGGCTTTAGGCTGCAGTTAACTTCTTTGATACCCACAGCTTTAGCAACTCTATGTGCACTTGCCTCATGGTCACCAGTTAACATTAAAACACGAAGTTTAGCTTGATTCTGCAGTGTCTGTACAACGTCTAGAACTCCAGGTCGAGGCTTATCTTCAAAGTGGAAAAGAGTTACCTGGTACCAAGACAGAATCAGCAAAATGGTCTGCGGAATGGGCATTGAGGAAGAAGCTAGACGGTAATTTCTAAAAAGATGAGCATTAAATATTTGTACATCATAACTCTTAAGATATCACTGAAGTCTATATATCCGGTCTGGCTTTGCCTAGCAAAATCCAGTAAGCTGACGTTTGATTTGATTGCAAAGAGGTCTTGATACTCAACAATACTCAATTATAAGGAAATGCTTGCTCCAATATTTAGAAGCCCTTGAAATCTTGATGTTCAAAAGTTAATGGATTAGCTTCTGGCTCAAACACCAAACCTTTTTTACATATCTTTTCAATTTTGGATTCAGCCTCTCTCTTCCATTTTGTGATTTTACTCATAACGATTTCCGGTTTTTAGAGGTATAAGAAAACTGAGAAATTCACCAAGTTAAATAACAAGCATCCTGTACGAGATGGACACGAGAAAAGGTCCAATGTGAGACAAGTCCACATGGGAGATTGGTCCAATGTTCATTTTCAATTTAACTTAATTGACACTGATTTAAACAACTTTTGATAATTTTAATGCCAAAAAGTTGAATAAGTGATACTCTTGAAGTCTACAGTGTTGAAAATTGAAAAACCGTGAAGTGAAGTGAGAACTGCAACATTTTGTTGCTCGAAAAGTCATGAAAAGAGGAATAAGGTTCTCCTGGATTGTCTACTGTGACCATTAGCTGGTTTTCGATGAGTTTCAGGGGCTAGATCAGTGTTACAAACCACATTGCTAATGCTTCCCAGGAAAATAGGAATCCCAGAATCATGCTTTTGGGGTGGGATTGAAGGACAAGGACACAGTCATGATTTCTGAGGTGCCATTTTGTTCATGACTTTGTGCGGTGGATTTTGGTATCAGGGGAGGGAAGGGAGATTGAATATATTCCTGCCTTTGAGTACTTTCAAAAATCTTGGATCTGGATTTCTACAAACTATTCCTTGAGATCAAAAATCTTGGATCTGGATTTCTAGAAACTATTCCTTGAGAATAAGAACAAAATTATCCATATAGGTGACATGAGAAAAGTTATCTGTTGCAATTTGGGTAAATTGGCATTTTTCCCCTTTGCAGATCTCTCTCCAACTTCCGTACCCCAACCCTCATGCCGGTGTATGATTTAATACTGCTTTATTTGTTGTATATGGTAATTTCTATGCCTTAGTTAATTTTGACGTATTTCATGGCTTCTTGTAAGTCTTTTCTGTATAACTATTTGGTTTGAACACGTAATGAATTACTTCCTAGATATACCTAGACCAAAGACCTTTTTCCACAAAATTGAAGTCCAAACATTTGTTTGACCTATATTAAACATGGACAAACTAATCTAAAACTCAAAATTTTAAGCTACAGAATCCCAACCCACCAAATACCATGTGCCAACCAAACTGTCCTCATAAATCAATACACTAAGGATCATGTCTCACAAGTAAATGGTTACACCAAATCATCCTGTAACATTATGGGATACAAGTAGTATATTGCAATCAAATTAAGAGAAAATGTGAATATTATGCACCCAAGGGCGAGGCCTAGTGACAATGAAGTTGGCGGAGAACCATGAGGTCTCATGTTCCAATTCCAGCGAAGGCAAAAAACACTAGGTGATTTCTTCCCATCACCTAAACCTTGGTGGAGAGAGTTACCAAGTACCTGTGCTGGTGTAAGATAGCAGGTACCTGGTGGAATACTCGAGGTGCAAGCAAGCTGCCCGGACACCGTCATCATTAAAAAAAGAAGAACGAATGTGGATTTCTAAAGTTGTAATACTCATTAGAAACAACTGACCTTTTGATTATTAACTGAGAGAGCAGCGTGGACAAAATCACCTCCAAAAGACGACGTGCTTACTGCCTCCTTAACTCTTCTCGATTCATCTTCAGAGTGGAAAAGTGAGGTGATGTATTCCACAGAACCAAGAAAAGCTTTCCACGGTTTACCGTCTCCGAGTCCTGGCTATAAGACAAATATAATGAATAATTACTTAACTTTCCCATTGTAGAATTAAGTAACAGCAAATTTAAGTTTAAAGAAGAGAGCTTTTTGCTTTCCACAAAGTGTTTTCTATAGCCTAAAATAATCTACTATTTCTTTGTCACCATAACTATCAAATAGAAAGGGGAGGGATATTCCTGAACTTGTTAAAACTTCACCAGCTTATTAGGTCATCCATGAGATATTAAACATGGAATTAATTAGGGCCCATAACTCTGTTGCTCCTCCTTAGCCCTTTTGCACAAGCAGCCCCAACCCATACTATTTGATTTTGCAACTTCCAAACAATCTTATGGTGTTTTTTGATAGCAAAGTTTGACAATAATCTAAACCCAGCCTATAATTTTTTTCTATACTGTGCTAATAGACTTCAACTCAGCCAAAAACTTTTGGAATATTTTGGTCAAGCAAAGCAAAGCCCTCGAGTCTCGAGTAAACTCCAACTCAGTATGACGACCCGGCCGGTTGTCTTAAGAATTTACGCCCCGATCCCCTATTAACTGCTTTCCCCGTGTTTATTTCTGCTATTTTGATTTGCCGGGATGTTCAGTTTTGAGTTTCGGAGAGTTTTGGGACACTTAGTCCCTAAATGAGAGCTTAAGTGTTGGAAATTTGACCGTAGTCGGAGCAGTGTGAAAACGGCCTCGGAATGGAAATCCGATGGTTCCTTTAGCTCCGTTGGGTGATTTCGGGCTTAGGGGCGTGTTCGGATTGTGTTTTGGAGGTCCGTAGTTAATTTNGCCTCGGATGATTTCGGATGGTTGTCGGAAGGATTTTGGAGTTTGGAGTTGCAGAGCTGGTTTTCTGTCATAACCGCACCTACGAGTGTGGGACCGCAGGTGCGGCGCCGCAGAAGCGGCTCAGTGGTCGCAGAAGCGGAAATGAGGAAGGGCGCCAGGAACTGCAAAAGCGGCATAAGGAACCGCACCTGCGTGACCGCAGATGCGGATTTTGGGTCGCAGGTGTGAGATGGAGTTTTTAAGTGAGAACCGCAGAAGCGGTTCCCCAACAACAGAAGCGGTATCGCAGATGCGATTGTTGGACCGCAGATGCGGGATTTCTGGGCAAAAAATAGGAAGTTTCGAGGGTTTAGTTTCAAAAGTTGGAAATTCAGTTTGGAGCTCGGGAGAGGGCGATTTTAAGAGGAAATTGAAGAGGAGATCAGTGGGTAACAATTCTTTAACCCTTTCTAGTCATATTCCATCAATCTATAGTTAGTTTCATCATTTAATTTCGGATTGGAGATGAAAATTGGGAAAAAGTTGGAAGAAAGTTCTTACACCTATTCGACTTTTGATTGGGAATTTGAACTTAGATTTGGATAATTTTGGTATGCATGAACTCGTGAGAGTATGAGGATTCTGAAAATATAAATTTNAAGAAGTTGTCTTATGCGATCGCATAGGTATTTCTGCAATCGCGTAGGGTTAAATCTGGGCGGTATTTAAATAGCCCATCCGTGACCCTTCTTCAATTTTTCACCATTTTTGAACGGGATTGAAGATTTTGAGGGTATTTCAATTCTTCAATTTTCTTCACGTATTAGCTTAGAATTTATTTGTAGAATCAGTTACTTGAAGTGTTATTTACATTATGCAATTGAATTGAATAGATTTGGGCCATTTGGAGTCGAGTACTCGTGGCAAGAACGTGGTTTTCAGGTTGACTTTTGAGTCGGTTCGAAGTAAGTGGCTTGCCTAACCTTGTGTGGGGGACCTTCCCCTTAGGATTTGGTATATTTGGTAATTGAAATGCCTTGTACGTGAGGTGACGAGTGTGTACTTGTGCTAATTGTTGGAAATCCGGTTTTCATTAAGTAATTACTTGTATGTTTCCTTTCCTGTTTTTATTACTTGCACTATTAAGCCTGTTGTTAGCTTAGGAAAGCATGTCTAAGTGACTTAATTGCTTTCCTTGCTCAAACTGCCTTACCTGAATTCTGTGCAGCATGCTAGGCTAGAATTACTTGTTTGCCTTAATATGAAATTTGTCATTTCTGAATATTTTCCTGTTGCTGCTGTGTATTTATATTGGGACAACGGATGTGGGATTCCAGTAGCTCCCTCTTGTCTGTCTATGTTGGGACTACGGATGTGGGATTCCGGTAGATCCCCCTGCACAGTTATATGGAACTACGGGAATGCACCTGGTAGATTCCTCCAGTATTGGGTATTTACATTTGGGACTACGGAACGAGATTCCGGTAGATCCCCGCGCACTATGAGTTAGACTATGGGACGGGATCCCGGGAGATCCATTGGATATGTATATTTGGGACTACAAGACGGTATCCTGGGAGATCCCCGATTGTTATTTTGGTGTTGAACCGTATTTCTTTATGTGTTTACCTTGTCTCTGTAATAGTTGGTGTTGCTCTTTATATCTTGTGTTACTTTTATTGCTGTACTTATTTATATTGTTCTGTTCTACACTGTTGAACTTTATATTTTATTTAACCTCAGTAGGGTCCTGACCTTCCTCGTCACCCCGACCGAGGCTAAGCTTGGCATTTACTAAGTACCGCTATGGTGTACTCATGCCCTTTCTGCGCATGGTTTTCATGTGCAGATCCAGGTACTGCGACTCAGTCCTATCACCCTTGAGGCGAGGCGACTGCTCCAGCCACTTCGAGGTATATCTGCCGCGTTCGCAGACCGAGGAGTCTCTTTCTATTCTCGCTTTTAAGTATTAGCCCTTCTGTATTTCTTTTCCATGTTAGATATTCTGGAGTTAGACACTGTTAGATATTCCAAGGCTTGTGGTTTCATGAGATTCCAGGTTTTGGGAAAGTGTATTAGTTTTGAGAAGTTGTATTGTATATGGCGAGCGACATTTTAAATACTGTTTCATTCGGTTATTTTAACTTTTAATTATTTCTTCCGCAAATTTTGTTATTTTCCGCATTTGTTAGGCTTACCTAATCGTAGAGACTAGGTACCGTTACGACAGTTCACGGAGGGCGAACCGGGATCGTGACACTCAGGCAGGTGAGGCCAATCGTTCTTGGGTGCAGAATTGCTTAACCAGCAGATTTAGGTGGTCCTCAGTACATGCAGCATTTCACGGTATGCTATATATCTTAGGTTTAATTTCCAAATGTCCTTTGCCATGTCAGATATTATAGTACAATCACAGCACCGATATTTCAACGTCTTTGGCCTGTCTACAAGTTCGGTTCTCATTGCCCCTAAACAACCAAAGGCGCTGCTATAGGTAGACATGCATCTGCAATATATGCAAGATTCAGCTAAAAAACAGATGAATTCCACTACTTTATGACCTAAAATTTTGCCCTCCAAAGCCTTATTACCGTGTGTCCTAACCCGTTAGGGAGTAGATGTCCCACACTTGTATTAAAGGTAGAACTGAGTCCAGCACCAGCAGTCTAGATGTTGAACCTGATGTAAAACCACTTTAAACGTACAGTACCAAGGACCAGGTTAAATCAGGATATCAGCTTCAAAACTAGACCTCAATAAGTAGTCTACAAAATAAAATGTAGTAACTTGTAATATGGCACATCACATTGATGAAGATTTTTGATCAAGCAAGATACATATGAAGACAATTTAAGCTTAATTTTCCACTGAGGAGCTAAAAGGGAGAGATCACTTCTTGTATTGGAAAGGTAAATATATTGAACAGAGAAAACTAGAATTAATAGTGAGCAGATAGGAAAGAATACCTCAAAGCTTGATATTGTTGCAAATATGCCTCTACCAGGTAAATTCTCAAAACTTTCAACTGAAACTGAAGGAAGGTCTTTGCCCGTGCTATGATCTACAACAGCTCTGCATGAATGAAGGAGGAAGCAGAGAAGATAAGCATTAAGTGATCTCAGGTACTAGTACCGAATACCAACTTCTGAGCTAAACTCACTTAAAGGTGATAGTGTATAATCATAATGTTAGAAAGGGGTAAGCATCCAAAATTCATATATAGAAACATATCAAATAAATAAACAGATTAAATACATATATATCGAGACATATCAATTCACACCACCTTCCAATCGGGTGAGTTGTACCCCTCTCCATTGCAGCTGCAACAGCAAGTGCTTCTTTCTCACAGCTGGGGACACAACAAGAAGCAATTCTTTTTCCATGTCCATGTATCGGTTCAATTGCTTTGCACATGAACTCCCCAGTTGTTAGTGTACCAGTTTTGTCAAATGCAATACTATGACATGAAGCCAAGGCATCAAGAACTTCTCCACCTTTAAGCAATATCCCCTAGAAACAAAATTCACCATATAAGATCCTGTGAGCAGAAAAGACTGATCCTGAAACAACATATGATAATATCATTCTGCTCAGATCCTGGAAATAACGTTTACAAAAATGAAAATAAGACAAGTATGGGAAATACGTACTGTACGACAATGATGAGGTTTTTTTTTTTTTGAGATGGTAACAGATCCAATATATTAATAAATCATCAGCACAAATTTTGTCCTGTAACCAAGATTACATCAAGAAGAGCTAAGACAAACAAAAATTAAACTTCCTTGTTCTTCTTACAAGGGGCCTAAGACTTCTATGATGAGGTATTAATATTATACAAGTTACCAGAATTTTTTTGAATGGAAAAGGAGAGGCAAAATAGCTTTTGTCATACAAATTACCAGAACTAGAACAACATATATATATATATATATACACACACATATATATATATATATATATATACTTTTTTTTTTGAAAGTTCTGCTCAGACCTGACAGTAACATTATAATAATGAAAACAGGATGACTATGGTTCAAACATAAAGACTATGATGAGGTATTATACAAGTTCTAGAATTAGGAAAATATTTATTTTTTAAAAAGCCAGTGAAAAGGATTTGACACCACAAGTTCAATAAATAGATTGTCTGCCAATTCGAAAAGCTACCCTTTTTGCACAGGCACTGATGGCAGTTGCATAAGCCAATGGTGCCACAGCTAACGCACAAGGTGATGCAGCCACCATGAGGCCCAATGCTCGGTAAACTGATCCTCTGCAAGCTGCAGAAAAAGAAGGAAAAAAGTCACCAGATAACCAAATGGT